ATATTACAATCTTTTGCACCGATAAAGATTACAAAATACTCAGCAATATTGTAATTTTTTGCATGGAAAAAGACTTTGAAACCCTCACTGTTGATGCTCGTGAACAAACAGTCGATGGGGGTTTCCCGCAGTCGGATGCAGTTTCGATTCTGGTGACGATGGGGAAGAAGGAGAGGATGAATGTTGGGGCCGACTCCTCCTCCGACTTTATGCCCGATCCTGAGCGCACGGGGTGGACTGATAACATGCACATACAAGAATCGCAAGAATACGAGGCTAGTTTCCCCCGTGGTACCTCCGACGATCAAGTCAGTTGATGAACTTGGGGAGGGTTTGTTGAGAGATCCCTGGGCCATTGAGGTCCTTGCAGGAGGGCTTTCCCTCTTGGAATTATAAAAATGCCAAATGGGAGTAAAGCTAAGGTGCAAGAAGAAGTAGCCAGAGCCCTCTCGCCCTTACCTTCCTTACCTCCTTTTATAGCCCACTTGCCTCTGGGAGTTTGACCATCGGCTTTTGTTGACTATGCACAGGAGGTGGTTTGAAAGGTGAACAGGCAGGCTGCTGAGTCATCTTTCTTCCTCCAGGTGTCGGCAGACGACTGGGAGGGAAGTCACTCGGTATCAGGGGAGAGAAGTCTTCTCAGTGCTCTGGGTTTGCCAGAGTAGGCAGGGTGTAGGGTATGTCGGCTGTGTGGCCGTCCTTCTTTCTCCAGGTGGCGACTGAGAACTGGAGGAGAAGTCATTTGTGTATAGAGAAGCATCATGTCAATTCTCTGGGAAATGACTTGTGAGTGGAATAGGCGGCTTGTGCAGGAGATCCTTGTCTGAGCGTAGATCTTGATGGGACTAGTCAATGCTGTAGCTTCGAGTGACATTTGAAGTGGTCTTGGTCGGAGCTTATCCATTTAGTCGAGGCGGGTTGATCCGTGAGTCATCACTATGATTTGTCGACCGACAACCGAGTGAGTTTTGGGACGAGAGCGCCATTGAGACGTCCGCTCGGGGAGTCGTCTTAATTGCAGAGGACCGACCGGTCCCGCGCTTCGAGTCGGTTATGACGACTCTTGGTCGAGAGAGGGCTCGCCTGTTTGACTGGTCAATAGACTTGACCTCGGTCCGGTTCTGAGTTTCTTGAGCCGGTCATGACCATGGCTTTTTGGGCCTTTATAGTCAATCTTTCGACGTTCTTATCTCTAGATGGTAAATTACCATAACACTCACGTCTTGCACACTATTCTTGAATTCAGTTAACGCCCTCTTGCATGCTATTCTTGAATTCGGTTTATTGTCTCGTGCTAACCTAAATTACAAGAATAGTTGCTCTCTCCTTTTCTTCTTGGGTTTTCCTTCATCAATAGAAGACTATATATGGAGAAAGTCAAAACTCTATCTCTAGCGTAACTTCCTAATTAGAATAGGATATAAACTCCTTATCATGGTGAGGCTCAATATCCTAATCATGATAGACCTCTAATCCTATCTAATTCTCATGAAGTTATACATAAAATCAAAGACATAACCCCAACAAACCATTGCTCGAAGCCCCCGCATCACCTCTGTTACTACTGCCCTCCGCTCAAACCTGAGAGCCATTGCCTCACCACCACTAACAATTCACATACTACTGAAATCATATTTGAATACCTAATCGACTGTTCGAATCTAAATTCAAATAATATTTGAAGTTGGATTTATATATTATATGAACCTGAATAGGAATACAATTCAAATCCGAAAACGAATGTTATTCGAATCTGTAAATGAATATGATAAGAATATGAAATCAAATACTATTCGAATCTTAATTCGAATATGGTTCCAATCTAAAAGCTAATACCATTTTGAATCTCAAATCAAATGCTTTTCGTTCGAATCATAAAGTGAATATTGTTTGAATGTGAATAAGAATATTATTCAAATGTGAAACCGAATACTATCCGAATCAATAAAGCGAATATTGTTCGGCTATGGAATTGAATACTATTTGGATTTGTGTCCGAATACTATTCAGATCGGGAAACAAGAACACTGTTCGAATCTAAAAATGAATGCTGTTCAAATCTAGAAGTGAATGCTATTTGAATCTTAAATCGAATATTGTTCAGCGAAAATATCCGGATTTGGAATCAAATATTTTTCGTACCTGGAACTGAAAGCTATTTGGATCTGGAACTGAATACTGTTCAGACTGGAACCAAGTACTATTCGGATTTGGAACAGAGTGGTATTTGTTTCCCGTACTGAATATCGCATCTGGAACCATTCCTATTTGGTTCTGGAATTGAATACTATTTAGAACTGAATTCAGATATTGTTCGGATCTATTACTGAATACTATTTGGATCTAAATTTATGTAGTGTTGGAATCTGAATTCGAATAATCTCCGAATCTAAATTGGAATACTCTTTTGACTCTGAATTCGAATTTGATTTGAATAGTATTTGAATATTATTCTAATCAAATTCACTTATTTTGACGAGTCACTATTTGGCCTCCTGTGTAGGGGTGGAAACGAGCAAAATATTTGACAAATACTATGGTATTTATTTGCTTAAGTATTCGGTTATATTCGATTCGATAGTTCATTTAACAATAAATGAATAGTTTTTAATATTCGATTCATAAATGATTAGAATTTAACCATAGGTATTTTTGATTAGTTTATTTAATAAAATATTCAATAAGATTTGTTTACTTATAACTTGTATTAATTACACACGTGATGTTAATGTTCTTGACCCACCTACATTTTTTTCACTTTGGTTGTATGCTAATTTTGAGAGAGTTAACAACTCTCAAATCCATTTTTAAACCAAATGTTCACATTACAAATTTAGGTATCATAGATATGAAGGAATGCTTTTTAATTATGAACTAGTTTCAGGCCTGTGTGATGCACGGATTTGTTTAATATACAAAAATTAATGTAGCAAAAAAGAATACAAAATAAAACAGTAATAATATATAAGTAGTCAGAAATGATACAACCTAAGCTGCATATATGTTTGACTTACTATTAAACTGTAAAAAAGAATCAAAATATAATTTCCCTATTATCATAACAAAATAGATAAAATGTCTCATGTCTATATGATTAATGTTATAATATTTTGCTATACCAACTAATTAGTATGCAACATAAAGTTTAGTTCCAAACAAAATGTTTAAAGCACATAGAGAGATACCTGTCAAGTATATATATATCTATGAATCAAAACAATAATTATCAATATATTGATAAATAAAATATCTATCATAATCATATCAAGTAGTTAGGTTTCTCGACGCAAAACCACCAAAAAAATATGCAGTGCATACAAAAGTTTACTAAATAAGGTTTTAGACCAGAATACTAAATATAAGTTTTGGACATCATGAATTAGATAGAGATTTTTCAAAAAGGAGCTTGAACTCTCTGTAGAATATTCTAATTATCTTTTTCAATTTTGATCTGTTTTTGCTTTTTGTTGCTAGACATTCCCGGAGAAATCAAGTCTACTGAAACTGAGTGCTCGACATCAGATTCCAACAAATTTCTCTTTGCAACGAGTAATGTTATCCGAGGAATAAATTTCAACTTCATTGTCACAAGTGACGGATATCGAGCCCTGTGTTTCAGTATAACATAATAGTTAGCATGTTAATGAGGTGGCAGGAAAAGATTGTTGTACAATTAATGTGAAGAATCAAAAAATCAATAGTAAAGCGAAAAGAAATAGGCAATCCAAAGTGATAATGGTGAAAGTTGTAGCAACAAAAGATACTACTCAAAAGATATTAAAGAATTTGGTATTACATTTAGAAGGATTATTATGACAACCTATAATCAGAAATCTTCTCGGTGAATTCCAGTAATTAAGCTAGCAACTTCTCTCAATTAATCTATGGTTAAGTTTTTCATGATCGAGTAAATGCATGGTTCAATTAAGTATTTAAAATTTTTTAATTTGTACATCAAGGAGAAAGTGGTGGAAATTTTTGATGCAAAGTGTCAAAAGTTAATTAGAAGCTTCACGTGATTGATAATGAGTCATTGACAAATAGAACACAAGCCAGAAATAACGTTAACTAAACTTCAAGCTTTCATTTGTTTTGAAAACTTCTAAAACTCAAATGGTAAAAAAACCTTGTATATTTAAAAGTTTCAGAAACTTCCACCACCTTCTCCTTGATAGTAAAATTACTTGTAAATAACTAACGAATGAGATAATTCATCATGTGCCTTTTTTTTAGACCAGCAACTTCGGGTATGTAGGGATTGATTAATATCTTTGACGCATATAAGGCATTTGTAATAGTAATTTTACCTAAGAAATAAAGTTTTTTAATTCATGATTCTATCAATATATAAGTATAATCTACGAAATAAAAATATATCTTTTTTGATAAATTAGTATACATCTAATTTGATTTACCTCCATATGGTTTTGTCTTCGCAAGCTGAATCACCATTATAATAATTCCTGAATTAGCATTCTGTACATAGTGTGAAACTTGAACATCGTAATCACCCTCAAAATATTGATATTTAATGTAGCTGAATCATGAATAAGTTGAATCACCACAAACTGCATTGCAATTTAATGTTCAAACAACTATTCTGTAAATATTGATATTTGAACAACTATTCATAGTTGGCATTCTAAGTAGATCTCTTTTGAACTCTTCCAAACCAAGGTATTCCACTCATATTCTCAGCTCGGGCACTACAGATGTTTGGTACCAAGGACAAGATTGCAGTGCGTCTACATAGTCTCTTAAAATCCCAGTCGAAGTTAATAAGTCTCATTTCATAAACAACATCATCAAAAGTAGACTTATTAAGCAATCTATACTTAATAAAGCCAAACTCATCCGGCAAGGAATTGAGCAGTCCATCTTTTTTTTTCCACTCAATTTAGGCTTCGTTTTAACTTCCATATTAAATAATATATTTCGCATGTTTGAAATGTGTTCATATAGTGTCTCATTTCTTTTCAACTTATGTGTCATATACTCTAGCTTTGTTGGTTTGCGATATGGGACCGCGAGCCTAGTTTGATGACCATTCCTTCTCCAGAATGCTAATGTTATTTTTCTTGCACCTCGTTTCACAATCGCCATCACTAAAAAATTAAAAAAATGTATGTTAGTATTTGTGATTAGAACCCTAGATGGGGAAGGAATGGCCTCAAGTTTCTACATAATGGAATGTATAAATTTTATATAAATAAATCTTTTTCAAACTTAAAAAGATCTTTTGCATAAATACCTAGGTAACATTCACAAAATAGAAAAAAATCTTTTTCAAACTTAAAAAGATCTTTTGCATAAATACCTAGGTAACATTCACAAAATAGAAAAAAACTTAATACATATATTATTGATCTTATCTTTTGCATAAATACCTAGGTAACATTCACAAAATAGAAAAAAACTTAATACATATATTATTGATCTTTTGCATAAATACCCAGGCTTAAACAGAACCATAAATAAATTTCTTCGAGCATAAAGGATATAATTTAAGGAAAATACATACTTAGTTTGAGACATCTCCAACATTCGAAACAAAGAGAAAATTTGAAAATAATTTTCCATATAACCTAACAATCAAAATATAAAATTATACCTCTAATTCAATTGCAATTGAAAGAGTATAACATGTAAAATCATACCTTTCAACCTGAACAACCGACTCTGACAACCTTCTATAACATTGAATGAAAATAAAATAGTTAACATTTCTGCTAGAATCCATGATCGGCTGAAATATTATGAAGCTTTTGGGGAAAAACATACCTTTCAATCTCTCTAAAACCCTCTTGAATGTAGTCTTTTGCGAACTCTTAGAAAACATGAAGCTAAAATATTCATAACACTAATCATTACCTAAACTATATACATATTAACAACATTAAAAAATGATATTACATTAAGTAAGGTGTTCAAAAAGCTACAGATCAAAAAGGCATGTTACCAGTCTTCATCTATGAAAGTATAAATTACTTGTTCTTATATTTGAACCATATCCATATTTGTTCCCTCAAAATTGAACCGTCCCCTTTCTAGTTATATAGGTTACACACGAATTTCTTCGTCAATATCCGCATTCATAAATAGTAAACGGATACGAATAGGGTAATGTCAGTCACTTTGCCCCCAGCTCAGTGCATTACCATGTTGCGATTGAGGCAGTCTCGTAAAAAAAAGGTACCAACTTGTCGAATCAAGAGACTCTAATGTCTCCATCTTGTTGAGGTTTATGCTAAAAGATACCAGCTTGTAGGATGAAAACGGCCAAATTAAGCAGCTCAAGCATTCTTATACCCAAAAAATCCCAAATTTACAACCAAAAGAACTCAGTCCGCAAAGTTAAAACCAAGAATCAAACTTCACCTTGGCAACAATAGTTACAAATGACATCCCAAGAGGCAGCCTGAGATCCCAGGCACCATCATCACGGGGGTCCCACTGCTTGACAAGTGCCCTACTGTACTGTTGCCACGAAGAGCTAGAGGAAGAAGAGGAAGCAAATTTGTGCCCTAGCTGGTTTGGAAACAATTATCCCTCGCTTCATCTTGACGAAGAGGGGGCTTGGATCAATGCCGGTGCTCTCAGCGTCCTCGGCCTCTTCGATCTCTTGGGGAATTTTGGAGAAGGAGGAGGAGGATGAGGAGCGGGGTTTGAGGAAAAAGGCTCTGGACTCCATGAGGGAGAGAAGCTTTGATGTTTTTGGGTCAAGGAATCACAAAGAATAAAAAGGGGTGGTGGTAGTCAATTTTCCAAGAAAAGTGATTCGGCTCCCCAGTCCCCCGAAGAATTTGAAAAGACGCATTATTAGGTCTGTCACGTGCAACGTAACGTGACAATTTCGTGATGTAAGAGCATCTCCAACAGCTTCCCCAAAATTTTCTCCAAAATGGAGAAACAAAAGTCATATTCTCCAAATTATTTTTGCTCCAACTCCAACAGCTTCTCCATTTTAAAAAATCGCATTTATTACAATAATAAAGCTCTCCCCAAAAATTTAGAGAATGCTGCAGATTTGGGGAAGGCTCCCTATTTTTTCTCTTCCTTCCCTATTTTGGGGAATGAGATGAGGAATCTGTTGGACAAAAAAAAAGCTCTATATTCCCCAAAATTGAGTATTTCAAGAAGATGGGGAAGCTGTTGGAGATGCTCTAAAGGCTTCACAGAAGTTTGAAGAGCTTGGAAGTTGAAGAGGTTTCATAGAAGTTGAAGAGACAAAGGAGTTGAAGAGTTTGGAAGGTTGGAAATGAGAAATTTTCTATTTTCAACATGCAAAGTTTGGAAAAAGGGGGTACTTGATTCGAGGAGGAAAATAAAGAATTATTAATTTATTATTATGTAAATAGGAATTCAAAAAGTCAAGATGTAAGTCTTTGAGACGTGGGAAAGATATGTTGTTTTATTAGTTTAGTATTAAGAGCATCTCCAACAGCTTCCCCAAAATTTTCTTCAAAATGGAGAAACAAAAGTCATATTCTTCAAATTATTTTCATCTCCAACAGCTTCCCCAAAATTTTCTTCAAAATGGAGAAACAAAAGTCATATTCTTCAAATTATTTTTGCTCCAACTCCAACAGCTTCCCCATTTTGAAAAATTGTATTTATTACAATAATAAAGCTCTCCCCAAAAATTTGGAGAATGCTGCAGATTTGGGGAATGCTCCCTATTTTTTCTCCTTCTTCCCTATTTTGGGGAATGAGATGGAGAATCAGTTGGACAAAAAAAAAGCTCTATATTCTCCAAAATTGAGTATTTCAAGAAGATAGGGAAGCTGTTGGAGATGCTCTTAGTATTATTAATAGACATAGGTAGATTGATATTTTTTATTTTTTATTTAAAAATGATTAAAAAAAGAGGAAATTGCCAAGTGGCCTTTTCAAGGGGAAGAGATGCCATGCGGCGTTTTCAAGGGGAAGAGATTTTAGATATAGAATATAGATTTAAATATTATCTAAAACATCAAATTCTTAGAACAATGAAAATATTACTTTCATCAAATTAAAGTATCTACTTAATTAAATTGTTAAACATTCACTAAAATATAAATTACTAATCAAACAAATATACATTAATATTTGATGAATATTTGTGAATATTCAGCAAATACTAGTTTTTGAAGTCAAATTCGAAGAAAATCAGAGAATGATATTCGAATTCGTATTCGGACCCCATAAATTTAAACAAATACAAATGCTCAATATTCGGTTCCCATTCGGCTCATTTCCAAGCTCCAGCCCGCTCCTGCGCGTGCGTCTCACGCGATCAAAACTACTTCAGTTTAATCTTCTGCTCAGAGGATAAAACTCAAAACCCTCAGTCCCCTTTCTCTTCTCCTCATCCTTCTCCCTCCATTTCTCTCTTCCCAAATGAACCTAACCCTAAACCACACATTCACCTCTCAAACCCTTATTCAGTTCCCATTTCCCCCAATTCAAAGAACAAGAAGGAGAAAGCACAACAAATTTTGCCATAAAAGAGCGGGCTTTCGAGCTTCAGCATCAGCAAGCGGAGATGGACGTGGAAATTTTTCTTGGGACAAGGTCTCGAGATCAATACAGAGGGGGTCGGAGCGGTTCGTGTTGAATCTTGGGGAGATTTTGAAGAAGGAGACGGGGTTTGATCTAGAGGGCGCGAATATTAAAGCAAGGGGGTTAATCAATAGAGGGAGAGAGGCGGTGGATCGGTTTAGACTGGAATTGGTTCCGGAATTTGTTGAGTGGAATAAATGGGACAAGTGGAAGGTATTTATTTTTAATTTTTTTCTCTTCTGTCTGTATAGTTTATTGATGAATTGCTCAGTTATTTAGTAAATAACATTAATGACTCGCTTTAGAGAATTTGGAAACTTAGAAATAAAGCATTTACTTATCTTTGCTCCAGTGCCTATGATTCACTTATTTACATTGATGTAATCTTGTACAAAAATTGAGGCTTCCCGGATAAAAAATGGTTTCGAATGAATTTCCATTGAAACGAGTTCGTAAAGCTTAGTGAACGGTGGAAATCTCACCATCCTGTATAAATCGGAGATCTAGAGAGTATTTTTATAAAAAGTCTGGATAAGTCCTGCTAAAGCCCCGTTTAGATGAAAGAAACCAATGTGTGCTTCAATCAACTGAAAACTGTATTAAAACTCTCTACTGCACTTTAAAACTTGAAAATTTTCTTTGATTTTCTCTGAATGCAATTTCTAGTGTGCTAAAGTGGGAGTAAAGGTCCAAGGTCGATCCTCAATGCATTCTATGCTGTTGTTTCACTAAAGGAGCACCTTATGTATATACTTCATATCTCCTCACCTTCCATACACGCTGACTTTTTATCATTTAGGTGTTTATCATATCCCCATTGTGCTGGGTATATATCTAATGTGTAGATTTGAGCACCTTCATGTTTTCCTAGTTCCGATGCTTGTTACTTGTCAAAATGGCAGGATTCTTCTTCCTCTACATAGTTCCTTCCCTATTCATAGATCAAAGAAAGAGGTAGCCCTTCTTCCAACAGCTCTTATTACCTGTACCAGCTTCTTCAACATGGCTGGGGAAGAGGGCATTGACAAAAGCAGTTCTTTGAGGAAAGTAGGTCTGACAGAAAGATACAGTCTTTCCCCCTCATCTGGGCAAGTGTGAAGTTAGTGTATTTGTCATCCCATGCCTTCTCTAGCATGCATCTCCTTATCCTTGATCTGTTGCACACAGATTTCTGATATCAATTGCATTTTACTTGGTCAGAACAACTCATACGTGTATTTCCATTTTTACTCTCTTGTTTCTTTAAATTATCCAATCTCCAGACTTATACGTACAATGGGCTTTAGATTTTAGATTTGAAAATTCTTTAACGAAGTAAGTTGATCTTATTTTTTTAGGAAATCACAAGTTAAGTACATTTTATTATTTAAAATCTGGGTTGCTTAATGTATTTCTGTATTTTCTCCAGTATTCAGCAGTAATAATCATATTTGTAATCTAGTACATATGTCTCCATACACGTACCTCAGGATGTTGAGAAGTGGGATCCTAGGCGTATCGGGGCCTTAATTTTGTACATTATCATCGTTACAATTTCATGCCAAAGGGTGTATATGGCTATTTCAACTCATATAAATCGTCAGAGTAGGAAGGAACTAACAGAGGCCTATATGGAAGCATTAATTCCGGAGCCATCTCCAGCCAACGTTAGGAGGTGAGTGAACATACATTATTTGAATTCTTCTTTTCTTTTAGTGTTTATGAGAAATCTTTAAATTTTAATTTGTTAATAATGCTAATCTGCACTTCTACTATTTAACTTTCTGCATCTTAATTATGGGTTCATTAAGGTAGAATGGCTGGAGTCTTGGTCCAATAGGTCACTGGCTAATCCTTGGATCTTGCATGCTACTTGGTAATTTACTAAATTCTTTGAAGAAAAAGACAGGATGTTATTGCTCTGCACTATGGTGTAATGCATTACGACTTATGCCCTTTGAATTATATGTCTTTAAACTTCTTGAGGGCAACATAGAATACTTCATCCTCAACGAGTTTTGCATCAGGTTAAGGAGGGAGGGTATAAATTTTTTTTGGGGTTTTTTTTGGGGCCCATTGAATTATATGACTTTAAACTTCTTGAGAGCAACATAGAACACCTCATCCTCAATGAGTTTTGCATCAGGTTAAGGGGGGATAATTTTTTTGGGGTTTTTTGGGGGGTTGGGGTTGGGGGAGTGGAAGGAGTAGAGTCAGTGTGAGGAGGGGCAGAAGAGGAGTATAAGTGTTTAGAGACTTAGATCATTGTATATTTTTATGTGATGTGATGGTAGACATTCGTGTGTGGTGTTTTTGTGTTTATGGACTTGAGTCAACGGTAAACTAGTTTCTCAAAGGACACATTCTCTAATGGCCTATCCCCTGAGGAAAATGTTATTCTTGATTGACCATGCATTTGATGGTTGTTAGGGCCTTCTATACATCCTTAAAGTGTCTTCAACTGTTAATGATGGTCTTTCATGTATCTTTGTATATTTTGATGGATTTCTCCCTTATATACAATGAAAGGTGATGTCTCTCCAACCATAAGTTACACTCAATTAGGTATCTGCCAGCTTCAATGAATAGTGGGGATATCCAGAATAATATATGCAATTGTGTCTGTATTGAGTGCAGTAGAAAGAAAACATAAATCACTGAGAATTGGTATCCCCTCGATGTCCATCTGGTTGCTCCCCTATTATCCCATCATCGCTGAGTTACAACCCACTAAATGTTTTTGCAGCTACACAAAATTGCATAAGAAAATAGTCTCATAAATTGAATTGTTTAGGTAGATTTAGTAATGAGCTTGAATATTAGTGTTTCCCATTTATATTGCTGCACCAAATGAGTTCCTGAAGTAAATAACTTTAATTATCTTCCAGGGAGATAATCTAACTTCTGTATGAGACTCTTATAACAATGAGCTTTTTTATCAATGAACTATTAATTTACAGTGACAAAGAAAGGTAGGTACAAATAAATTCTGTTGGTTTTCTTTATTAATGTTAATTAGACATTCCTCTTCTATGTAGTTCTTTTCTTATTACCCTAACTGTGTTCCTTTTCTTTGACATACTATTGTAACAATACTTTGATGCAGTACCTTGGCGATCTTTCCGACATGTGAATTTTTCATTCTAAGTGTTAATCATTGTCAAAATCTCTAAGCAAATGTCATGTGTTCATGGGATCCTGCAAGTATTTCCTGTGTAATATTCTTACATACACAGTCATACATGTGCATTATTTTGTATCATGATTGAATCTTTATTTTTCTTTGTTTTTTCACTCCTATGAATACCTTACATAAGTCCATTCTCAGGCGTCAAACTTTTCCTCGTGCTCCTTCGTTAATCTACAACCTCTTGATTCTATTTGTTAAGATGTCTGAGTTATTGCTTTGGCCACTAGCTGTAGTTTTCTTATAGTGACATCTGCTGTATAACTCTTGTCATTGTTGGATCAGGTTTAAGAAGGGCATGTGGAGAAAAACAATGCCTAAAGGGCTGAAAATCAAGAAATTTATTGACGGTCCAGGAGGGGCACTTATTCAGGACAATTCCTATGTTGGAGAAGATGCATGGGATGATGATCCTGAGCCTTCTCAGGATGCCATAACTAATATTATTGAGAAGGACACAAAATTAAGTGATGAGCAAAAGAAAGAATTGAAAGAGAAGTTAAGCATTTCAGGTCAGTATCTTGTAGTTGCTTTATCTTGCTTAATGCAAAGACTGTGCATTTCAAATATTGCAGAATGATTAAAGTTATATTTCTCTTTGAACATTAATAGCCAGAATATTGAGAGTTTAAACTTTCAAGATAAGTTGCTCATCAAAGTGCCCACTCATTGCAAGGTGCCAAGACCATACATTGAAATTTTAAGTATCTCTGGAATGTAGGTTTTTTCAACAATTCTGTGATCAACACTTCCTTGGTTCACAAGTTGACCTTTGATTCCTAGAATGATGTTTGGAAATATTCTTTGTCCGTTTCCACATGATGCTGGAATTTCAACAAAACATTCTTGAAAGGACAGTGTTGAAAGACTATAGTTTCAATAAACGTAATCTGGACAAAAATTGAAATAGGATGGTTTAGGAGCTTCTATAAAGATCTGGATTGCTTATAAGATTAGGTTCAGTATTTTCTGTTAATTACTTGCTTCAGACACAAAAATCAATGTTTGATCTGATTGAATTACAGTATTTGCTAATCATTGCACTTCCTAGTCCCCACTGGACCATTAAGTGACCCCATAAATTACTAATTGTTTCCTTTAATTTAGCGGACTTCTAGAGACTATAATTTAAACGTTAAATCCATTAAAGATATTGGACACAATTCTGCTTACCTATTGACTCATTTATACCGAAAAAAAGTTATCTTCATTTGCAATTCAATGCGCGTGCATGTATTTCACTGACCAACCGCTTTTTGTAAAGCGAGGAAAAAACCCAATAGTAAACATAATCTGATCTGATTTTTGGGTCTGGAAGGGTTTGAATCGTTCTCTTGTTATCAGTTAGGATTGCGTTTTTTGTTTGACCTTATGTTTTTCTGTTCGAGTTCAGATTAAGCACTCATCTTATTCCTTGACCTCATTTGTTTGTACTATTCAGACCTAGGTTTAAAAGTTCAAGAAAATCGTGAAGTGCGTATTTGTAGTTTGTTTGGGACATCCTGTAGTAGAGTTGTTAACAATAAGATAATAGAATTTGTAATAACACCATTCATTGTATGTAGAAAGTTACATCCATAATTTTGAATAAGCCAGCTTGTCTTCCTTCTAAAAAATCAGATTCATGGGACATCACTGTAACTTATCCATATGTAATTTAAGAGTTGTTAAACAAATATTTAGTAATTTTTTACGGAACTGTTTCTTCATCATCTAGTAAATTGGTCAGACCTTTTCTAGACTGGATATCTCACTTGATCCCTATTTGGAATAGGTGCCATATGTTGCTAGGAGTTGGTAATAAGAAAACCAATGTCTGATATAATAATGTCATGAATTGTCTCAGTGTGAGGGTCTTGTACTATGTTTCACGGGTGCGGATACACATATGGGTAAGGGACACGACAAATTTGTAAAGGAGAATTTTTTGAAAGAGGCCGTATTTGATATATATTTAGCAAAAACAACCGTTTTGCTAAATATTTAGCAAAAACAACCGTTTTGCTAAATATTTAGCAAAATCGACCTCTTTTTGGCCAGCTCATCAAGGCTGGCCAAAAAGATGTCGGGTGCGGATACACATATGGGTAAGGGACACAACAAATTTGTAAAGGAGAATTTTTTGAAAGAGGCCCTATTTGATAAATATTTAGCAAAAACAACGTTTTGCTAAATATTTAGCAAAATCGACATCTTTTTGGCCAGGTCATCAAGCTTGGCCAAAAAGATGTCGATTTTGCAAAATATAGGTTTCAAAACACACGAGACTAATAGTCCCATGTGTTTAGTGCTTGTTAATCGAGGCCTAAACAACACACAGAAAACCCATGGGACTAGTTAATCGAGGCCCTCATTCTCACTCACAAAACCAAGAGGAGTTCTGAGAGAGATGTCCATAAATTTTCTGCTCAAACTCACCACCAATGGCCGCCTCTCCGCTCTCACCCAAATCCGAAGCCTCTCTTCTCTCCTCCACAAACAACCCCACCTCCACTTCTCTCACCCTCAATCTCTCGCTCTGTTCTCCCCTGTGAATCGCACTCTCTTCACCCACTACAAAACCAACAGCCCCACATTCCCGCATTCGAGCTCTCAGCTGTGCTCCCACTAAACTCCAAAGAGGAGAAAGCCCAAGAAGGAGGAGATGAAGTCCTTCCTGCTTCTAGGTCTAAATTTGTTAAGGATGATGAGTACCCAAGTGGGGAATTTGAGATGATCAAGTTTAGTAGCTGAGAATGTTTCCTTGTCGATCTCCAAATGATGTTTGCGCTTCCATGGGAGTGAGTCGATGAGGAAAGCTTCCTGACCATGGTTCTTATAGAAAAGGTTTCGGCTCTTACCCATTTCCTTAAACTGGAGAAATTTGTTTTTTTAAATGGTTATTGGATTGCATATGAGATGTTTGAAAAATGACTTGATGCAAATAATTTCTACTAGTAAAAATCCACGGGACCACTAGTTCTGTGGGTTTTCTGTGTCTTGTTTAAGTTGCGATTAGCAACCATTAAACACACAGGACTAGGGACTAGTAGTCCCGTGTGTTTTGAAACCCATATTTTGTAAAATCGACCTCTTTTTGGCCAACGTTGGTGAGCTGACCAAAAAGAAGTCGATTTTGCTAAATTTTTAGCAAAATGATCTTTTTGTTAAATGTTTATAAAAAATGGTCTCTTTCAAAAAATTCTCCAAAAATTCTCCATTTGTAAAAGGTAAGGTATGAGGATATGGGTATACACACCCATGCATGTTGAAATAAATAATTAACATGCGATCGATAGTATTTTTTCATTCACATGGTATGAGAACTAAAATTCCTATTATATTTTTATGTTTCTTTTATTAAGTAAATTATAAATTGGAAAACCGCTTGTTTTTTTGCAAATGAAAAAAAAAATCATGTCTGAGCAGGGTATGGGCTGAAACGAACCTGACTTGTCCAATGAGCTGTAGAAAGTGGGAGCGAAGTGCAAGATGTCCATCCAAGAAGTTCATGATGAGTGTTTTAAACTAAAACATGTTGTATACAATTGAGTACACATCTAAGTAAATGTATGCGTATATTCAGGGAGCGTCCAAGGTATGTTGGAGTCAGGCACGGGAAGTGTAGGACACGGGTAATGGAGCCCAGATGAGGTGTCGGGGTAACTTAGATGTTAGATCATGGATAACCTGAAACTGGGAGATTTTTAATAATGGATGTTGTATCTACAACTGGCAAGGCCGTCTGTTTATCTAATATGAGATGGAAGTAAGTTGAAAATTTTAAAACATAAGTTTGTTTCTCTAACATTGGAGGGGACAATGAATATATTATATGAATCTACAATTGGCGCATCCGTGGTCACGTTATAGACTTCATAATCCAAGCCTTTTTTCCATTAAAGCAGGCTATCTGTAAAATGCATTTTATCTTGATGATTATATTCGAGAGCTTTCAGTTACAAGTGCATTAACTTGCAAAGCTTGCAAATTGAGTAGCTTCTCTTTTTATGTAGAATAAATAGCATCAGTTTGTTTTTTCGAACAGCCTTCTGTTGCTGATTGGATGGCTTTCTGTTCAATAATCCTACAGTTCATCATGGTTGCGTGTAATGTTTTATACCATGATTGCTTGTGGCTCCATAACTCAAAGGTCATAGTAAGTCTTCAATTCTACACAATCCTTAAAAAAGTGAGGTCTGAAAATTGAAGGATCATCAGAATATGTTTTTGATGCTCTTCGACCAGCTTATGTGAAATAAACACCTGACGACTATCTTTGAACAAGTAATTAAAGTAAATCTAAGAATTATGATGTTCTTTCTTTTATCGTTATAAGTGCATTCTCATCTTTTTAGTTTTGCTTAATAATTTAATTAGTTAATGGTTGATCATATCAATTTTTAGCCCATCTATTTTTTAGTCCATTCGCATGGTACCTCCATATTGTTGCTTTAATAAAGAGGAAATGCTTGATTATTTGTCAGGATACTGGAGGAAATCACAGATAACATGAAGCTGATATGTAGCATAAGATTAACAATGTATATCACTTGTAGTTCTAGGTCTATTTGTGTACCAAGTCATTCTGCTGCATCAACTGCTTGTAAGCCTGCTTGATTACATTTTTTTTAATCTTAGGTGATAAAATTTCCTGTTCTACTCTTCTATCATGTTGCGAAAAGTTTCTCCTTATTTCATGTACAAAATGTAGGTCTTGTTGGCAAATCAATAGGTCAAGTAAGCGGAACAACTTGGAGAGAACGGCTACACATATGGAAAGAAATTCTAAGAAGGGATAAACTTGCTGAGCAGATTGATACAACACATGCCAAGTATGTGGTTGATTTTGACATGCAAGAAGTAGAGAAAAGTTTGCGTAAGGATGTGATGGAGAAAGTGTCAGAGACACAAGGTAGTAGAGCACTATGGATTTCTAAGAGATGGTGGCATTATCGTCCAAAACTGCCTTACACTTATTTTCTTAGTAAACTTGACTGTTCGGAGGTATCTACCTGTTATCTTAGAGACATCTATGAGTTGCATATTCAAATAGGAAATGATTCTATGAATTTACATCTATTTACCTTCATATTTTCTCTTTTTATGTGGCAACACTACGGAAAAGCCTGCTGCAATGAATGCTGGAAAATTAGCAGAATTCTTTATATCAAATGACTGGAATAATTGTAGAACGAAAATGAGAGTATATAACCAATGAAGTGAATGAACTATGGCGTATTTCTGCCTCTACCCGGATGATTTGGGTCTCATTCTCAATACATTCAGGAAAATATTTATGTTTTTATCGTAAATTTATGGCACAATAATCACAGACAATTGTTCCACTATTCTATGGCTAGTATTAGACTATTCATATGAACCATTTGCCAATCATTGTCTTAAGATATTTCAAGCTTTTCAAAATATTCTCCGACAATGTTCATTTATGTTATCTTTCAAGTCAGCTTTGCTATAGTTATTTCTGCTCTCTTTTTTCCTGATTTTTTCATCACAAATCTGGGATCTCTTTTGACACAAACACTTCCTAGGTTTGAAATCTTGAACCAGTATTAAACACCTGTTAAAAGTACCAGTAGAATTGATGCTCGCAGCAGTTTCAGGTTGGAGTTTCAGTTTCAATAGCTCAAAAAGTTACAGAAGTACTAAAATATCTTGCAAGCAGTAAATACAATTAACACTGCTTCGGTACTTTTTTAAACAAATAATGATGTTTAGATTAGAATTGGTGGATTCATGTTTAGTAGTGTAACTGACGCAGCAGTTATTTGGACTAAAAGATATGATGATGTATAATAGCGTAACTGATGCAACAGTAAATATAATTAATACTACTTTGCCTGTTTGACACCTTGTAAACAAATATTGATGTTTAGATTAAATGTTATGCACTGTACAAACAGGTTGCTGCTGTTGTTTTCTCTGAGGATCTCAAGAAAATATATGTCACAATGAAAGAGGGATTCCCACTGGAGTATGTTGTAAGGATGGCATCCATTCTTTTTTTGATTTTGAAATTTGGTTCGATGTCTTGCTAAGACATCAGAGCTAATATGTATGTTGGGGTATTTGGTCTGACCTCAAAAATTTATGAACTTGTCTTATGTAGGTTGATATCCCTCTTGATCCTTACTTGTTTGAGATGATTTCAAGTTCGGGTGTTGAAGTGGATCTCCTTCAGAAACGGCAAATTTACTATTTCCTCAAAGTTGTCTTTGCATTAGCACCAGGCTTGCTCCTTTTGTTGCTTATCCGAGAATCTGTAATGCTACTGCACATCACGTCTCAGCGCTTTTTATATAAGAAATATAACCAGCTCTTTGACATGGCTTATGCAGAAAACTTTATACTGGTAAATACATTTTAGCAAGTATGCTTGGATCATGTTCAACGATTGTAGTTCTAATATTTATTGTTCTGTTGCCTTGTTGATGTAATTGTTATATTAATTTCTAGCCAGTGGAAAGCCCTGATGAGCCCAAATCAATGTATAAAGAAGTCGTATTAGGAGGCGATGTTTGGGATCTTCTGGATGAGATTATGATATATATGAACAATCCCATGCAGTATTATGAAAAACAAGTTTCATTTGTTCGGGTAAAGTGCTTCAACAATCTCATTAAACATTTATGAATCATATTTTTCCTTTTCTCCAGTGAAGAATTTATCATTTAGAAGTGTAGGCTCAGCTATAAGGGTTTTTGCTTCCATTTTAGGGTGTACTTCTTTCTGGGCCACCAGGGACAGGAAAAACACTCTTTGCACGGACACTTTCAAAGGAAAGTGGTATGCCTTTTGTATTTGCATCTGGTGCTGAATTTACAGACAGCGAGAAGAGTGGAGCAGCAAGGATCAATGAAATTTTTTCTATAGCCAGAAGAAATGTATGTATTTCTTACCTTCTTAATTAGAATGTTATCGTCTTGGGACAGCACACAAGAGCCCAATACAATATGTACTTGGAGTTAAACATATATTTTTTGGACTTTCTGGGGTTTCCTGCGACACCCGTGTGAAACGCCCCTGAACTTTCTTTTCCCCGGCAATGTCCTCTGTTCTTTCGGGTGTCCCAAAAGCCGCGCGGTAAAATATTCAAATTTCCTAACAGATCGCTTAACCGATCACAAGCACTTATTTCCTACACAACCAATATAATTGCCTGGCAATGCCATGAAACGCACATTGAAAGTTTTTTTTTGTTTCGCGGGGTTGGGGCGGGGGGGGGGTTGCACCCCAAAGTCAAAAAGTTTAGGGAGTTCCGTGGAAACCTCCAAGGCCCTCAATTTTAGAGAAATTTGGGGATGGGGTTGGTTTTTTTTGTGGGGTGGATGGGGGGGGGGGGTGGGGGGGTGCTTGTGTTTGGTGAAATTTACCCATTTTTCGCTGTAAACTTTAACTAGATTGTCATAAAATATTCATATAAATGTTCTTTGTATAAAACATTATCTTCTGTTTGTCATGCAATGCATTTATTTCTCTGTAGGCTCCTTCCTTCGTCTTTATTGATGAAATTGATGCTATTGCTGGAAGACATGCCAGAAAGGATTCCCGTAGGCGTGCGACATTCGAGGCTCTCATCGCACAGCTTGATGGAGAGTATGTTGCTTATGCTCTTGATCCATAATATTTTTTCTGATTATTATACAACGGAATTTGCATGAAAAATCCAAATTTAGTTTGTATTATTTGTCATAATTTTCTACTGCATTACAAGTGGAGGAGTTCATCCTAATGAAGTTGCAGTCACACAAACAGAAGCATCCCGTTTGGTCTTGAATTGTGAAAATGGTTTAGTTAACTTTTAATGCCTCATGCAAACTGAAAGTTTGCTAACCTTTCTCTCTTTAAAAATTGAAATTTAATGATAAGTCCTTTGAATCAACCGAGTCTCTTTATTTTTACTGGAATGAAGAACTCTATTACCCGCCAATTACCACATTATATCATTAAATTGTTTGACTTTGGTTTTACAATGGACACAGTCCCCACTACTAACACTGTGAATGCTTAGTTGCTACAGTATAGGTCTCAGAACATTGTATTGTCAGTTTCGTTGCCTGTATATGGCAGGCCACTTTACATAGTAGAATCTCTTATAAAGACAAAATGTACATTTATAGCTGAGTCTGCTTGTCTGCATTCTGGAGAGTGGTTGTGTCGGGCGATTGTATTGGAGCGCAACACTTGTGTCAAATTCAATAGTTGTAGGATATATATGTACACACATGCAGCTTGTTTTTATTGATATATTTTGAGATAATAATAGGATAAGGGCGGTTCTCTGAAGGATACTATCAAGAACTGTGCATATGATAGTGATACAAATGGAGAATATATGACAAATGAAAATTTGTAGGATACACATGGAGAAAATATGAGCAATGGAAATTTAAGTTTGCTCCAATTTTTGGCTGAATACCAGTACCTTATGCATTATTTTCATAGTTGATGAGAATTTAGAAACATTTACTCTTTGTCAATGGTTGAGATTAGGCATATTCTAGATGTTCCTTCAACTGCAAATTTCTTATTTATCTCTGACATTGTTTATGAGCTATGTAAGTTTGGCTTTAATCATTTTGAGAAATATGTGCGCTATGCAACTTCCTCAGAGATTGAACCCTGAATCTTTTTACTCCCAAATCTTCCTTCTAACAATCATTGCTTTTGCTGATTACCGTAAATCATAGGTAACTTTGAGCTTTATTTTTTCCTTCCATTTTTCAAACTTTTCTTGTTTGGTGATTATGACACCTCAAACATTATTGTAACTCCCTACAATAATATTTGTCATCTTACCTCTTATTTGGCACTATTCCTTTTCTGGTGAGATTTGGAGTTCTTTGTACATGAGATTAAATTACATGAGAAAAGGTGGTAGTTTTGCCTATTGGTAGCGTGGCACTAAAGGTGCACGCAAATATCTTATGTCTCTCTGATTTTGTTGACATGGTAATTTGCAGCGTTTCTTATCAAGTGAATATCTTCTCTTGTATACTTACTCAGTTGTCTTATAGAGCTCCATGACATTGATCATTCTCCATGGCCAACTTTATTTTAATAGAGGACGTTCTTAATTTTTAAACGCATCTTCCAACAACAATCCTTTCTTCGTAAGTGTTTTAAATATCGACCGATAAACCGATATTATCAGTGATTTATCGGTTTTGGGGGCCTTCCGCGATGATAAGTTTGATTTTAAATCGGTTATCATTTTTGGATTTTTATCGGCGATAATGCGGCGATAAAGTGAGTTATTGGCCAATATTGTCGGCTCAAAATATCAGAATTATTGGTCGCCGATAAACCGATATTATAGGCAACTTATCGGTTTGGGGGCCTTCCGCTATGATAAGTTTGATTTTAAATCGGTTATCGTTTTTGGATGTTTATCGGCGATAAAGTGAGTTATCGGCCAATATTGTCGGCTCAAAATATCAGAATTATCGACCTCTGGTTTGGGTTTGGGTTTGCTCTTTGGATGTTTAAGAATTATAAACTATTTGTTGTTTTTGGAACTTGGTTGTTTGGTGATTAGCTTATTTTTGTTTATGAATACTGACATCGCTCATAACTATTAAATCTCAACTCAATAAGTTAGCTTATAATCTCGTGATTTTAATTATGTTGATGATTCTTCATTCTTTATCTTGTTATTTGCTTATATGTTATTCCATTTTTATTAACTATGAACTCGAATGGTTTCATCGTGTGATAAAGAAGCAAGTTTCTACCATTGGTGAGTGATCCAAAACATGATTATTTATATTTTGGCATGTTTATATTTTATTAAGTATAGCTAGATTACATTTTAGGATATAATATTATGTATATACAATAACTGATAATATCACTCCGATAAATACTATTTATCCCCGATATATCCTCGATATCTGCTATCCGATATGAATTTTGACCGTCTGATAAATCCCCGATAACCGATATTTAAAATCTTGTTCATAACCATGCCTTATGTTTATTTCTCAGTATTCCGAATCTTTTTCTTTGGACCTTTTCTTTTTAGTATTTGTTAAAATTTGGTGCTGAATCAATGAGGTATAAATGCTTACTAAAGCCAAAAAGAAATATGCTTGTCCGAGCAAAGTAAATATGCTTGTCAGAGCAAAACAACTGATGGGCTTTTAATTCCGGATGCAGCATTTTGCATGCCACATTTTGCAGTACTTTCTTGTGTGCTTTTGCCTGTTCTCATATGCCTTATTTTGATTGAAAGTATGTGTTTAATTAATATGAGGACACATCATTATCCCTTAACAATCTTATGGTAGAAGCACATGGTTTTAAATTGCAGTGATGGATGAATTACTATTAATTATCATGTTTTTTGTGTTTTCAAATTGATTTGTTCACATTTGTTTCTTTATTTGAAGTATAGTGTGTTCTCTTGCTTGTCTATTAATATGTTTGTGCCTTTTTCTGTTAAAAACATGGAATAATATTGTATTTTTCATGCTTTTTATTAGCACATAACACCTAATTTTAAATGTTGAAAACTAGTTTTCTTGATTATTTCTAGAATATCTATTACATGGTTCAGGATAAGATAGAGGGTATAATAAATCGAGTTTGAGCTATGAGAGTGAGACTATACTAGGCTTGATGGGGTTTCAGGCTGTATAGCTGCACTGCTTGTCAAAATATGTGAAAGCTTCAATAGCTGCACTGCTTGTCAAAATATGTGAAAGTTTCATGCCTTATCAAGGCCTTACTTGGATTCATTTCTTTTGTTACCTAAACCAGTGTTGGCTTGATCACTACTCCTCTTTTCCTGTGTCATTATACAGAGAAATATCCCATATTTATGAATTTTTTGTTTTACAGAAAAGAGAAAACTGGTGTCGATCGTCACTCTCTCAGACAAGCTGTAATATTCATATGTGCAACAAATCGGCCTGATGAGCTGGATTCTGAATTTGTTCGTCCGGGACGCATTGATAGGCGTCTGTACATTGGTTTACCTGATGCAAAGCAACGTGTCAAGATATTCGGCGTGCATGGTTCCGGGAAAAGATTTGCAGATGATGTGGACTTTGAAAAGGTGAGTTTGGATTTTCTTTTGCTACTGATTTAATGATTGTAAGTTGTATATCAATGCTGCCTTTTGTGTTGTAGTTCTTTCTTTATCTGTAGTTTGTATTTACATCTGTACGTTGGTTCACAAATTCTTCTGATTACTTTGTATTTTCTTTGTTTTGAACATAATAATTTTTTTGGTCAACTTCATATGACCCTTATAACTCTTTAAAACATGGAAGTAAATGACTGTCTTGTATCGGAATAATGATGAATATCCTTCTTTTTGTTTAAAAAATTAGATCAGCATGAGGCGACCATAATCTTTAACAGTCATGTGAGCGCATGACTTTCTTGCATCCATATCCAGGAAGTAATTAATTATTTTTTATTAACCTAGTTCATTAAAGTATATTTCATTAGTAGTTTTCATCCCGTGTAGGCAAACCACACTGAATGAATAGATATTGATGCTTGCTATTGATGGCCCAGAAGATTCATCATATTAGGGTGTTTGTAGAAGGAAGATATCAGGACCACTCACTCTCACCTAAACAAATCAGTCCATTCACTGTCTCCTAAACCTGTTTCTTTGCTTCCTCTTCCCAAATTCCACTGCCGTCGACACCGTCCATCTTATAACCATGTGGCTCATTGAATTGAATGTAAGGAAAAGCAATTTCCTGTAGCACACATTCAAGTTATCCTTCTCTCTTTGATTTAATTAGCAATTAAAATTGAGCACTACCATTTGTTTCCTTTGTGTGGCGTTCTTTTCTTGTGTTATGATTATACTCCAATTTTGCAATTGAAAGTTGTCTTAACGATATATGAAATCATTTTCTTTCCTCTTAATCAGCTTGTCTTTCGTACTGTTGGCTATTCTGGAGCTGATATTCGCAATCTTGTCAATGAAGCGGCAATAATGTCTGTAAGTTTCTATTTACCTTCATACTAACTGTAAATTATCTGTAGAGATTCAATCATTTCTAATTGCAGAGTTGTTTTTGTACATTCAACCAGATGTGTATACAGACATTGTATGTACTCGATTATTGTTGCTCCTGAATGGGTTTATAAGATAGTAAAGAATAAAATGTCTAGTTAACTTCTTTGGGAAGATGCATTATACCAAGTAATCAGGCCATCAACGTGACTGAAATTTAACTGAATAACATGAGAAACAGAAAGGAAATACTTAAGGAGTCTATGGTTTCTGACTTGAAACTACTGTGGGGCTCTTAACAACGTATTTTATGCAGATCTAGAATTTCCTGACCGCAAGTGAATGTATTAATTAAGATCTAGAAATCTATAATACTATGATAGATATGTAAACAGTTGTCCACCGAAGATCAAAACACAGTAATATACTTGAAAGTTTTTTTTTTTTTTTTTTTTTTTTTTTTGGGGGGGGCGGGGATCTTGCCTCTTATTGGGTATGTCTTGTCTATGTTTTTTTCCGTTTCTTGTACTTAAATCCTCAGATGTTTGGTCTCTGGCAGTATGCTTTCCTGAAAATATTTGAATCCCTTCTAAAGATTGCCTAGTAACATGTTGCATACCCACAGGAATTCGCTAATTGTGTATATTATAACAGAGATAAAATATTTAGTATTTGGCTGGTTAATATATCATATCATGTATTTTCTTGTGTAATATTAAACTGGTTTTGTGGAGGGTTCATATCCAGTCATGTTGAAAAAATGACTATCCAAATTGAGAATTTGGAAAGTGGATAAACAGTGATTCACTGTGGTATAGGAGAAGTTGTGAGCAAATTTGTAGAATGCCAGATACTTTGAGTGGAGGATAAGATGAGGCGGGCTGCTTGTAGATGGTTTTAGGCATGTATAAGAAGTCCAATGAGTTCACACATTGTTGAATGTTTGTGTTTTCTGTTAAGACTTAAGAGAGTTAAGTTCTAGGACTTTATGAGAGCTTAGGCTTAACTATTTAACAATTTATCATTCTTATTGTTACTGATGCACTGATTTTTGAGAATTTGGAAATTGGATGAGCAGTGATTCACTGAGTTATAAGATAAACTGAGTAAATTTGTAAAATGTCAGATAATTTGAGTGGAGGATAAGAGGAGGGAGAATGCATGTAGATGGTTTGCGACATGTGTAAGGAAGTCCAATGAGTTCACATATAATTGATTGCTAGTGTTTTCTGCTAAGAGAGTTAAGTTCCAGGACTTCGTGAGAGCTTAGGCTTAACGATTTCAACAATTTATCATTCAACAATTTATCATTCTTATTGTACCTGATGCATTGATTTTTACTGAATTCCAGGTCAGGAAAGGTCACTCTTTGATTACTCAGAAAGACATTGTTGATGTGCTAGATAAGCAATTACTTGAGGGTATGGGTGTACTCCTTACCGAAGAAGAGCAACAGAAATGTGAAGCCAGTGTATGCCACCTCTTTCAATGGGATTAAACTTGGATAAAAATTCTCTAGGTTCCTGCAATTGTTATTGCTTTTCTTTTTGACAGATGCTCTTCTTTGTTTAATAAATTACAGGTTTCTATGGAGACAAAGAGGTTGTTAGCTGTGCATGAAGCTGGTCATATACTGTTGGCACATTTATTTCCTCGTTTTGATTGGCATGCTTTCTCTCAGCTACTTCCTGGTGGCAAGGTAATTTTTCTGGCTGTTAACATGAGCAACTCTACTACTGTTCAACTTATGGCTTTAAATTGGAGAGGATTTTTTTTGTTAAAACTCTTCTACATTTATTTTGATCATGTTTCTCTTTGACACAAGCAGGAAACTGCAATGTCTGTATTTTATCCAAGGGAAGATATGGTTGATCAAGGATATACTACATTTGGTTATATGCAAATGCAAATGGTAGTTGCACATGGAGGGCGCTTGGCTGAAAGGATCGTGTTTGGTGATAACATTACTGATGGAGGAAGAGATGATCTAGAAAAAAATACAAAAGTATGTTTCATATTCTTCCGTGTTTTGTCTCTTACACTTTTCTTGAGAAAGTTGGTAGGTAATATATGGCATAAAATTTAAAATTGTGGTTACTTGTAAAATTGCAGTCTTAATTTTTGCTTCAAGTTCATATTGATCCATCTGTTCATGTAGACATCTTGATGTGGAAGCGGTTTTCCTTTCCAGTCACTTGTCTATCTGCTAATATGCAATTACATTCTATTACAAGATGGTTGTGGAATACATATAAATGATCTAGATATGAAAAGCACCACCCTTGTTGTCAATGATGTTTGGATAACTGTATTAGTTAGATACAAGGATTTTCATTTATTTGAGCACTGTAGTGGTATCTGAAGCAGTTATATGTGGTTGTAAGTAGACATTTACTAATGAGCACTTTGGGAACGGTCCAAATTAACTGCAATGAGCTTAACTTGTCAACTTTGCGAGGCGGTTGTTAAAGGTCTCTTCCACTAAGCTGAAACTCCAGAGTTTTCTTGAGGGGTTATAATTTTATATTCTAACGTGCCCCTGTAGGTTGAGTGCTCTTGTCACGGGCTGAAACCTAGATGCACAGTGGTATCTTACTTTTTTACTTTTTGAAAATTGCTTTAAATTCATGACCAGTAGGATTTGAACCTTAAAGGTCCCTTGTACTACAGCGGAACTCCGGAGTTGTGGTTAGGGCTGATGGATATAATTTTATATTATAACGGTGGGTTTTCGTGTTATTTACAGTTGGAGGTTGGCAAATGTTACCAGTATCACAGATTAACCTTTTTTTTAGTGGTAAACCCAAGTTACTTTTAAAAAATATTACAGTTACTGCTCAAATATTTAGTCGCAAAAAACAACATGAACTATTCATTTAGCATCTACTATAGTTAGGAGAAAACGGAGCACATGATACAGTAAAGTGTACGATTAGTATTTCCAATGGAACAAAATTATTTTATTATATTTCATACATTCCTTCATTCATGCTAATATTTAGATTTTCAATTACTTGAAGTGTGACAAACTCTAGATGTCCTTTCTCTAGTCTTTTGCTTCCAATACAATGAATTGGGATGGCTTGAAATCAGACTATGCTAAGATAGAGTTTCCTCCAATTGATTACTAATTATGCAAATAATCCTTAACATATATATATATATATATATAAATATATATATTATATAGAGAGGAGAGAGAGAGAGAGAGAGAGAGAGAGATAATGGGTATCTTGTCATAGCGAGAGGATTTCCTCCTTGAGTCTCTTAAATCACATCGATTTGAGCGACATTATGGATGATCCGCGCTCCGTTGAACTTGATCTACATATTCTAAAACCAACACACAAGTTTGGGGGTGAATCCGTCGTCGTTGACCGTCCATCGAGCCATGTGAAAAGTTCTATTCATCAAAAACCGTTAAAATTGATATGAAGTGGATGAAGGGTCAAACGAACGACGGGTTTCACCCCAAACTTGGTGTGTTGGTTTTAGAATATGTAGATCAAGTTCAACGGAGCGGATCATCCACAGTGTCGCTCAATCATGTGATTTTAGAGGCGCGTCATAGGAGGAAATCCCCTCCTATGTCAAAGATACCCATTAATCCCATATATATATATAATAATATATTATATATATATATATATATATATATATATATATATATATATAAAGCAAGAGAGTGTTTGACAAGTGGGTGGATTTAAATAAAAGTCTCTTTCAACAAGAGAGTGTTTGACAAGTGGGTGGATTTAAATAAAAGTCTCTTTCAACAAGAGAGTGTTTGACAAGTGGGTGGATTTAAATAAAAGTCTCTTTCAACAAGAGAGTGTTTGACAAGTGGGTGGATTGTAATAAAAGTCTCTTTCAACAAGAGAGTGTTTGACAAGTGGGTGGATTGTAATCCATCATTGTTGTTAAAATGACCCAAAAAGAATATGGCTTCAAATTTGAACATTGAATAGATTTTAGAATTATATTAAATGTTGAGGGGTAAACTTGACATTTACTTGGTCAAACTATATAGCTTATAAGCCACCAAAAAACAAGCTGGGTTAGGGGAGCTTATTTTGGGCTTGTAAGCCAAAATAAACCGGTTGCCAGACATGTTGCAGTGGCTTATAAGTTATAAGCCAGTTTGACCAGTTGCCAAACATGTGCTATGTTCTTTATGTAGTGAATGAGAAAGTATTATTTCTCTTTTCAATGAGATTAACAATCAAGAATGACACTTGTCTCAACTAATTTAGTTTTTATCAGATTATTGCATATGTTATCAATAATTGAATTTAATTTGACATATTAATTGAAGTCTTTCCTATTGAGACATCATATGTTTGTGGCCTGATTCAAATGCTAGTAAGCTTTAAGCTTTACAGATTAAGTAAGTTTCACATCATATGTTTGTGGGCTGATTCAAATGCTAATAAGCTCTACAGATTTAGGAAGTTTTAACATGCTTTGAAACCGATCCAGAAAGCTCATGAAAAATGTTACTGTTTGCATTGAATTTACTGTCTATTTGTTTGATCAAATGTTCGTTTATGTGCTTCTTTGCATGTTAATTGTACCTTCATAGTATACTTGATGCTTGTGCATGTTGATTAGCTAGTCAATATTCATGTTCTGCTATAGCAATTAACAATATTCAATACCGATGAATTAATAATCATATTACACAATTAACTTTTTGAGTTTTGTGAATACAGATTGCTAGGGAGATGGTGATTAGCCCACGAAATTCAAGGTTAGCTTTTGCAACCTTAGTGAAAAGAGTTGGCATGCTTGATCGACCAGATAATCCTGATGGTGAGCTTATTAAGTATAAGGTACTCTCCTCTACTCTGCCAATATCATTTTGTCTTCAAATATAATATCTTGAGGAAGGTTTTTATTCACTTTCTAATTTTTACTCATACTCGATTACTCTAGTGGGATGAGCCTAACGTGATTCCAGCCGATATGACTGTTGAAGTGTCAGAGCTATTCACCAGGGAGCTAACGAGGGTAACACCTTTCTTTCGTTACAAATAGAGTATATTTCGAGAGCATGATATATGTTTGACATGATATATTTAGAAAGCTTGTATAGATAGAGTATATTTAAAAATAGAGTATATTTAGTAGATGAGGGTAACACACAGCCCGCCAACTGATTCTTTCAATTAAAGCATCTTGCAGATATTTTATAATGTGGAAAGATGTTTGCTTTCTCTCACTTCTCTCTTTATAATGTGGGAAGATGTTTACTTTCTCTCACTTCTCACTGTGATTATTCAATTGTTTTGGTTTTTAACTGCAGTGTGTTTATGGCTTTGCGCTCTACTCCTAGGACTTGAGGGTTTTCCCACACAAACACAAACTTTGACATGTAGGGAGGGAGGGGGGTTACAGAACTTTCTAAAATCATGCTTGAAATTTTAGAATGATTGCATCTTTCCCACCATAATACTAGTTAGAATCATCTTAAATTCATAGTTTGTTTTGTGGAGTCAGGAAGTTAATTACTACCAGCGGTATATATAACTTTAAAACCATTTGATATTTCCTTTTTTACATCTTTGTTTTGGCCAACTTCATCCTTGTTCCTTCTCGAAAGTGAAAAAAGGAGCTGTGTATTGCTCAACCATGGATAGATTCTGTTTTATGTTTATTGTCTCTGTTATTTATGTATGATTCATTTTTTTGGCAGTACATTGATGAGACAGAAGAACTTGCGATGAATGGTTTAGTACAAAACAGGCATATCCTAGACATGATTGCTAGAGAATTATTGGAAAATTCAAGAATAACTGGGCTGGTATGTTTCCATTAAGCTTTTTTTTTTTGTAGTTCATCCTTTAATCTTCCTGTTTCTCTTAAAAGTGAACAAAATAATTAGTTCTTCAATACATGTTGCATTATTGTTTCAATCACCACATTGCTCCTTCAGAAGTACGTTCGTTATGATCTTTCATTTGGTTATTTTGAGACTCATCATTTTAAATTTTGCATCTAAAGTCTTTTATCCATCTTAATATTGGATTTTTTGTTTGCTAATATAGAGTTATGTTAACAGTATGAACAGTTTCCTCACAGCTAAAGAAAATATCTAGGTTTGAATCGTTTGATTATTTGACATGGTTTTACTGACCTATTGAAGTTTGAGGGCAATAACTGTTATTGAGATATAATGTTAGCTTTTACAGTTACAAGAGATCATCATTTTTTTTATTCATCTTTTACAATTTGCTATAATGGTTATATCAATTCGTAATAGGATGATAGTTGATTGAGCAATTAAGAAGCATGTTTAGAAAACAGGCATGAATTAGATGAGAATGTTGAGATGTGTGAGTGGAAATATGTTGAAAGATAAGAACCAAGTGCATAAAGTTACATATATCTTTAGTTAAAGATAAACTGAGGGAAATGCTCGAGATTGTTTGAGCTTGGAAATGGAGACCTATGATTACTTATTTAAGGATGACAGATAGGATGGGAATTGGTGGAAAAAAGAAGACTATACATAAATAAACATAGATGGAAGCAGTTGAAAGAAGGTATGATTGCAAGCATGATTACTATGTATGAAGATTACTGTAGTGAAGTTGGAATGTGGAATAAGATAACTACACGTGGACCTGGCTAATTCTGTGTTCAGATATTGATATTTTTCAATTGTCATCATGAGAATCTTTTCAAGAATGTAACATAATAATTTGCATATAATATACTAGCAGGAAAATAACCTATGTTCTTTATAATTGAATCACTGTTCCCATCAATAATTTTAAAAATATTATTATAATCAATTAGACAACTTATCAAAGTACTATGCTGGTTAAAGGTGTACTTTAAGGTGTAACTTAGAAAACTGACATCTGTGACATAAGATTAATGGGGAAACACCTTGGTTTTAAATAATAGAGTACAAATACTCAAATTTGTTGCCTTCTATACGTGTTACAAAATTAAACCTGCATCTTGAAACTTTTCTCATATTCCTCTGATATTATATTGTCAGGAAATTGGAGAGAGAATTAAGGAGCTGTTCCCGGTGATGTTCGATGATTTTGTAAAGCCATTTCAAATAAACTTGGATCAGGTATATTCTTTAGCATTTTATTTCATTGATTAACACACTATGTAAAGTGTAACTTTTTAATCTTTTTTTATTTTTTTCTTTTATTCATTCTTTGATGTACATTATTGATATTAGATTTATTTTTTTTCCTAAATGCATCTTAAATGCTGGGTCATGAACATGAGCTCATTGCAGTTTTCCAATTCTGAAGACACTGACTAGGTACATGTGAATAAGCATGCACCATAAACAACTCTGAATAGGTTTACGTCATCTAATTTTAGTGGAATTGTAAGTTCTACAAGAAAGAAGCTGGTGTTGCATTTCAAACAGCTTAACCTGCAATAAGAAAACTTTAAGACTGCCTTTTACTGAGATGATATCAAGGTTGGTTTATTAGAGATTTCTCAAAAAAAAAGTTGATTTATTAGAGTAGAAGAAATAAAACAACCTTAATATGAACTCTGCTAACTGTTAAATTAACGTGATGCTATGTGTTGAATTAGACTATTCATGTATAACTTCTTTCTGCTACTTTCCATCGCGATTATTACCATTGAATTTTCCCTAGTAGGACAAGAAAATTATAAGTTGAAAATCTGAACCAAAAGCTAAAACCAGACTGCTTAGAATATCAAAATATATAAACTAAATAAATGGATAAATTAAGAAGAGATAAAATATGAAGGCTAAAATGTTTTTGCTTTGGCTTTATGACAATATCTTACCATCTGTATCAGGAGGGACCATTGCCTGTTAATGATCGTCTGCGTTATCAGCCACTGGAAGTGTACCCTGCACCTCTTCATCGGTGTTGAGAACTTGGGGGGGTTTTATTAGAGCTCTTCAGCTCTTATAGATCATGAAAACAATGCACTTGAAAGTTTAGCCATACCTTCAATTGAGATGGCCTGCAGTTTCCCACAGCAAACAGCACCTGATCCTTTTCTGATCGGAATTATTCATTAAAAAAATTATCTGCCTTTCTTGCCAACTTCATTTATCAAGATATGGTGGAAGAACAGTGCTGATGGATGTGAAAATTTTGTTTATTGCATCACGGTAGAGAAACAGTAGCTGCTATCAGATAGAGCGTAGTGAAGAGAAAGAGATTCATATAGCAGACACTAGAAAGTTCAATAAATTATTTGTTATTGTTATATTGACTGCAAGTGTGCATTCCGAAGTTCCATGCCGAGCAAAGATCCCAAGAAAGAAGCTGAATCCATCAACTTTCCTCTGGTGACGTGTAAATGCCTGATACATCTCTTTATTGTCTTTGTAGTTCTTTGAAGAGAACATGCTGTGAAAATGTATACTTTGGGAATGGCAACGTGTCCACTCGGTATTCTTGTTTACTGGCTAGATCTTGCCAGTCCGTTGTATCATCTCCATTCTTTTGTTGCTCCGGGCAGTGAAAAACTTTCAAAACTTTCGAGTTAGAACAAAAGAAAGAGTTCAGTACTACGGTAGTTGGAAATTGCATCGTTTTGAAGCATATTACGTTGAAGTAGTCTTATTTTCTTAGGTGTGGGGCTATTTCCTATTGTAAAATCTTTTAAGGGCAGCATATAAATTGAGATCCTGATGCCATGACTTACGTTGTGAAAAGAAACAACAAAAGTGCAGTTTTTTTACGACGAGAACATGAAAACGATAGGATCACGGATAAATGGATCAAAGATCCAAATAACGCGTGTGTTTGCTCTGGACTTGTGGTTCGTGCAGCTCGTGCAGCTATATTTTGGGCTTGGCGTACGGTGCTTTGCGCTCGACCTGGTCTTCATGTGATGACATTAATGAATGTGGCTATAGTTGATGGGGGGCTAAAGGAGATTACTTATTGATTCATGTATTGGTATTTCTTTGATACATGTGTACGGTCAGTAGTTGGTGGATGATATGAATCTATCAGTGGATGTCGTTGAACGTTGGTGAATCTCAGATAATGTCTGGGGCCGAGCCAGACACCTCCCTCAAGTGAACTTTCCATCAATGGTGGAGGTGTGACCGAAAATTCGTAGTGTTCAACTGAACCTGAACGCTGATGCTGATAGACCAGCGTGGACGCCTACTTTGGATGACAATTTCACTTTCCAGTATGCGTGGACGCCACACTTAGTTAGTTGGTCTAATACTATTGGATTATCTCGCCTCACAACTAAAAGTATTTTTTATATTATTTAGATAATTAATATCATTCACGAGGTCTATTGAGATTTAATTGGCGAGTTGTAAGATTCTCTACAATTAAGGATGTAGAGAATGGTTAAGTGGATTTGCTTCAAACTCCATGTTCCTCAACTTTGCTTCTTTGGAAAGTGTTTTTGCAATGCCTACCGACGCAGGAATACTATCACGGGCATAACTTAGGGAGTTTATTGGAGTTTCTTGTTCCAGTCGTTAGTTTCCTTTCTTCTCAAATTTACCCTTATAATAATCCAAAATAATAAACTATTCAATAAGCTTTAACAATTATATAGTTTAGGATTGACTGATTTGATTGTTAAATATAGAAAGCAACTAATGAGTAGTGACTTTGATATCTAATATTCTATTTTACTTGTTAATCGTATCCTTTTTAATATTTGTTATGTCTATAGGATATTAAAAGGAAGCAAATCTTTTTCAGTTAAAAAAAAATCTTACTGCATTAGGATAGGGACTTAAAAATTTTGTTGTTTTTAAAACCGCAATACGGTGATGATTTTATTTCGAAGTTGAAATATATTTGGTAGGACTTGACAATCTGAAACCTAGAAGTACTCCATATGTAGAGCACTAGTCATGGAACAAAACAAACAAAGAATAGGATTTATTCTTGATTGTTTCACAAAAACGGAGACAGTGCAGAGCTTTAATTTGAAGAAGAAGGAAAAAAAATCAGCCTAATGACTGCCCCTGCAATCTCATCACTGTTTCCGACGCGTCTGAAAAGCTTGGCATGCAATAATCTTGAACGATCCTAAATACTGTAAGAGCCTTCCTCAACCTGTACATGGATTCTTCCACGTAGACAACAAAATCGATAACAATATTGGTTTCTTGTCATATAGTTTCTGGATGATGAACATGCTATGCGTCTGCAACAGTTTACTACTCATTTGCCATCAATGGCGGAGCCACATAGTGTTCAGTGGCGTCACAAGACACCACTGAACTGCCTACTTGCTAACATCTCATTATGGTGTTTCACGAGCCGAGAGATTGATTCAATCGTTGGCTGGTGATCGAGGTCGTCTAGATGATAGAGGCGTCCTTGTTTGCGATACGTTTAGAAGTCACGAGGACCCTGAATATGAGATGGAGGCCTAGTTGTCGTGCTTCACAACTCTAGGGGGATGAAATTTTTTCAAAATTATCCTAGAGCTTGTGCTGTTTTGGATGTCATTTTTAACCTGTTGGAGATTTTTTTTTTCTTTTCACCACTTATTAGCTTAGGCTTTGTTTTGTGGCAATTTGTCCTGTAATATTTTGGGGTGTTTCGTTAAACTCTTATTAATAGGACTTGCGCGATAACTACTCATCGTTTTGCTCAAAAAAAAATTTTTTTGACTTGTATTTACTGCTTAGACACCACTGGAATTATGATAGGATATCACTGAAAGAGGTAAAATTGCAAAAATTATCAATATAGATTAGAAATACCACCATGATAAATTACATGGTGACACCACTGACACAAAATCTTCGTTTCGCCATTGTTCGCTATCCTCCTATTACAAACTTGCCTGTAAAGAGACTGAGTTGAAAGGTTTGATATCAAACTTTGACGAGCACAGCCTCAGTGTGTCTGAGGGGCAAGATGCATTACGCAACGAGGAAGAACATATATATTCACGTGTTTGTCCAGAATTCGCGTATCTGGAAATAGAGATTTCAATGTTCTGGAACTACGGCTCTCGTACTAAACCTCGATATCCAACCACCAAGTTTGCCCTCGCCTATGATCAAAGTACATGCCACCAAGTGCAACAGATGTAAAGGAAAAGGGATTGATGCAAAGTATAAAGAGTTATCTCAACGGGAAAATTTGCAAAATAGTTCGTTTTTGCTAATTATTTAGCAAAATAGACCGTTTTGCTAAATAATTAGCAAAATAGACCTCTTTTAAAAAAAAGAGGTCGATTTTGAAAAACAAGACTCAGAAAATATACGGGACTACTAGTCACGTATGTTTAGAGCCAACTTAATCACGGATTAGTGATTCAGAAAACATACGGGACTAGTAGTCCCGTATGTTTTGAGTTTATCTCAATGTTTTGTGAAATTTTCTGAGTTCACTAATCCGTGATTAAAACATACGGGACTACTAGTCCCGTATGTTTTCTGAGCTGTTTTGCAAAATAGACCTCTTTTTGGCCTGTTGGCCAAAAAGATGTCTATTTTGCTAATTATTTAGCAAAACGGTCTATTTTGCTAAATAATTAGCAAAAACGGACTATTTTGCAAATTTTCTCCTTATCTCAACCTAACATAACAAGTCTTATCTCTCAAACAAAAATGTTGAATCTTTATGGATGTTATTGTAACCCAAGTAACTTAACAGACCAAACTAGAGATCAACCTGCATGCTTTAGTATCTCCTGAAGAGGTCACTATCCCATGTGGAATCAATGTCCCTATCAAAGCCAGTAATAACAAGATTGCACTTCATATTCACGTCTTCAGTTTTATGTACGTGATATATTGTCAATTTATCAGTTATACTCTATCAATGCACGTCAACTAAAGGACATGGAGCAGTCCAAATAGAACTTTGAAAGCTCTTTGATATAAGATCCTCACTGAAAAATGTCGCAAGACTAACGCATAAGATTTAAAGCTTTATTATGCTAATGTACAGGGTAGATAAGTCCTTCCACCAACAAGTGAAGCTCCCGTCTAAATATCAAAACATTTCGTTTTCCCAAATCTCCAAAATCGTTGCGCATCATTTACAGAAAAGGGTTTCCTTTCATTCCTATTAGCCATTGCCAGCTACTCATGGGATTTTTCTCCATAGTAAACAATGGCGGTTTGGCATTCGTAAGTGCGGAATTTTCGCTTCTAATAACAAGAATCTTTTTCATCCAAAATAATCCTTTCCAAACACTTCATTCCCAAGCAGATTACCCTCAGAGTTAAAATTTCAAACTAGAGACCTCAAGCGGTTAATTTGTGGTCTAAGAAAAAATTAAAATGAATGAAGCAGAAGAAAGATCTACGAAGCCAAAATTGATCCAGGGTGGAATCTATAAATAAAATTTTCACAAAAAAGTATATATTTTTTTGGAGAATTTTATTTAAAATTTTCACCGTGAATAAATGGCAGTCAGAGAACTCTGGGATATTAATTAGTAGCATCTTTCTCAATCCCGACTGACACACAAGAAAATATATAGAGAGAAAAGAGAATGTTAATGCAGGATCAACGTCGAAGTACAGGAAATTATAGGAAGTATCTGGTAGGGGAATTTAAGATTGATACATTTCAGTTCCTGTTAAAAACAACGTATTTGTTAAGTTGAAAGCTTAAGTTTACCTAATTGATGTTTCACCAAAGTAATATTTTTTTCAAACATTTCATTGGCACGTTGATTATCATCTACAAGTCCAAACAAGAGATCAACGAGCACTTAAATTTTTATCTATAAGAAAAAAGGGAAGAAGAATCAAGTATGCAATATATGTAAATTTACAAAATAAGCATACAGTTTAACTGCACTTCCAAAAATGAATTCAAAGTTAAGCAGCTGTTCTTAATAAACTTAGTGCATTCAATTGAAAGAATACAGCACAAAGTAAAATGAATGTAGTATTTACTGGGCTTGGAAGCAGTGATCTCTTCATTTCATCTTCCATAATGTCAACAAGATCAGCTGGCAAAGAAAAGAATCGCTTGCATCCTAAACTACACTGGTAAAATTGCTGGCCTTCAAGATAGAAGAAAAATGATAGTCTCAACATAGACCTCAAAAGAAACTATTCAGGAAGCTGACTGACTGTTATCTGCAGATTTTGTATTGAACTTACTAGTTGCTTCTTTGTTTCAAACTAGCGCTTGCCCCGGTACCATCACTTACGTCGTAAATCAATGAACTACCCTTCTGCGCAGGAAAGAATAACATTTGGAATAAATACTTTCTCTCACTTGTATACCCAACAATTATTCTGTTCGATATATCTTGGTCGCTTTGACATAAGAAGCATGTGACTCTTGAAGGAAAGAATGTCAGAACATTGCACGGGCAAAAAGAGTGGTGAAACCACAACAAATGGATTCTGTACCTTCACATTTGTGCACTATTAGTAACATATTTTGTTTTCGAACAGATACATATTAAAGGTGGATAGGTTTCAGGACCTGAAAACACAGCACATTAGGCGGGTTGCGTAACTAAGTTTAGCTAATTGATCTTCACCCAAGTTACAAATTGATTACATCAGAGTCAAAGAGTTCAAACATCAAATATTCCTCAAGCAGTTAAATTCCGGTCTAAGAAAAAATAGGAAAAAGGAAGAGGCAGCATAGTCCGAGGCCAAATACGATCCAGGGTGGAATTTCTGAATACCCTTTTCACAAAAAAGTATATTTTTGGAAAAAGTTATTTTAAAAATCCACCCTGAATGAGTGGCTCTTAAATTGCTTCGGTAATTGATCTTCACCCAAATTGGAAATTGAGTACATCAAAGTTAACGAGCAATTAAATTTAGGTCTAAGAAAAAAATAGAAAAAAGGAAGAGGAAGAAGAATGACCCGAGGCCAAATAAAATCCAGGGTGGAATTTCTAAATATCATTTTCACAAAAAATATATATTTCTTGGAAAAAGTTATTTAAAAAGTCCACCCTGAATTAGTGGCTCTTCAGATTGGTCAGCAAATTGGTCTTCACCCAAATTGCAAATTGATTACATCAAAATCAACAAGTGGTTAAGTTTTGGTTTAAGAAAAAATAGAAAAAAGAAGGAGAAGAATGATCCGAGGCCAAATAAGATCCAGGGTCGAATTTCTAGATATCATTTTCACAAAAAAGTTTTTTTGGAAAAAGTTATTTAAAAAGTCCACTCTGAATGATCGGCACTCAGATTGCTCCTAAAAATTTTCTAATTGCACTTTTTCAATCCCACCTCAGTACCTCACACACCAAAAAATATAAAAAGAGAAAAGAGAAAATGTTAAACAAGATATGCATCGAAGTAAAGAACAGAGTACAAGTATGTATGTATGTATGTATAGTGGGGGCAGGAAAGGAAGTGAAAACAAGGTTAGCACATCAACTTTCTCAGGTTTTTCAAAAGATGAAAAACCTACTCTAAATGCAAGAATCCAGAGTAAGAGCCCTCCCATCAAGATGAAGTCACGCGCTCATATCTTACTCTTAATATAACATGTACTGGTGTGATAATAACCAATTCTCCTCGGCTAAGCATATATAGAGCCCTTGGACTATAAATTAGGAAAGAATGGATCCATTAGGTTCATTGTATGGATATCCCTTCCCAAAAGCATTATTCATTCTTCTTTCGCACTTATGTGCAATGAACCTCCTGACAAAGCATCAATGTCATATCAAATTGATATTATTTGGAATTTGGATACATGAAATCCATCACCAAATTAGATGAACCTAGCACCCTAAGTTCATGTCCTGGATCCATTAGGCATATAGTACAGGTATCATTTCCTAAATGTGTCACTCTTTCTTCTTTTTCCATTTAGGTTCCATGAACCTCATGACAGAGTATCAATGCCATATCAAATAGATATTATTTGAGATTTGGACACATGAAAGACATCATCAAATTACAAGAATCTAGCCTTCAACATTCATGTCCCGGATCACATGCCCAACAAATATCATTAACTTACCAATATCTATTGAGAAAATTGTAATCTACATGGATGTCTAGGTGAAAAGAATTGCCCGTTGTATTAGTCAGTGACAAAGGGAGAAAATCTCGAGGTATTAGTCGCATAGCACCACAGATGACATTTATCTAAACATTGGTGTGCAATAAAAATGACCAAGCCAAAACATGTCCTCGTAGTGACCAGAGGCTATTGTGTTTACTAAATACTAATTGAGCTTGTGGAAACAACAAAATATTGGGTCAATCAGAGGCAGACATTTGATAATATTAAGGAAGGCTGAATCCATATTCACATAGATGAAAACAGTCAAACTGGTTTATGCAAGGAGTATTCACTGATGCATATTGATTGGAGAAATTGAAGTTAGCCCCTGCATGTTGCAGTTTCCTTGTTGGGTCCTGTAAGTATAAATTATCTCTAAAATCTTCATAAAAGCAGGATAAATATGAAATAATAGACTATAATGTAATACTAATGATTCTGAGGTCGCTAAGACCTGTGTAACTTAATCATGAAGGACCTTTTTGTGAGTATATAAATACTACATTCTAACAAATTAGCTGATTTGGATTTGGAGTCCCCTGAGGCATATGTAAAAAGGTCATCTTCAGCTGCACTGAAAGCTATTCGCTACTATTTGGTGAGTGGTGGATCTGTATATTATAGTCTATATACTTTTATAGTATAACACGTCTGCCCATATATGTATGTTGCTACTATCATAGTGGCGAATGTCTGCAAAACAGCAGTGTAATGTTCCATTACCTGATAATAGAGATTTCAAGGTCCTAAAAGCAGGTATCTTGTTATGCACCTCAATACCCTATCTTCAAGGCTTCAAACTTATCCTTGCCTATGCATCATGCACGCGCACTATGCAGACAACTGAAACATATACAAAGAAAAAGCATTGATGTAAAAGGTTAATAATCGTCTTGGCATAAGTCAACAATTTCTTTCAAACAAAAACGTGGAATCATTATGGATTTTGCTAATAATAATCCCAGCAGTTATAAGAGATGGAACTAGAGGTCAATGGTTGCATGATTTAGCTTCTCCAGAGGTCACTACACCACACAGATGTTAGAAAGCTCCTCAAACTCAAGCAACATAAGGTCCGTCACAGTAGTAAGGAAACACAAGTTCTAACCTATAAGTTGACATCTATATTTGTGCAATTTCCAAGTCAAATCTTAAACACAGTAACAGAAGAATATATTGCAAACAAAGATAAACATGAGAGCAGACGAAGAACAAGAAACATGGTGGATAATAGTAGTAGACATGAAGAATTAGAAAAGCATTGAAAGGACAAGCAATGAAAGATTCGTCACCCCAAGTAAACAAATAGGAATCCTCATTTATCTTCGAACTGTTCCACCAAGCACAGAAAGTTTACAACAGGAACAAGGGAAGGAGATAATAGTTTCCTTGACACTTAACTCCAAGTCCTTAAACAATGGATTCCCGTGAAGGAAAAAGAAGCTGCCACAGTGTCCAAGAACTTGGAATAAACGCTTGTAAAAGTTAACTTGCTTCCCATGGACCACCGCCTGAAAATTTGCATGTGCTAGTCTTGTTTGCCTAAATAATAATCATGTTTGATTCATACTGAAAGACAACTAGTAGAAGTTACAGTTTGATCATCCTTAACTTTGCTACCGGGTGGCACCTTTCGAACGTCCCGCTGATGCCACAAACACATAAGAGCATAATCTCACAACAAACTCTTATGATTTCAAAGATGCCTCCAAAACTTCCAAAGCACAGTTTCAACCATTTGCTCCCAATCAGACTTCTTGGAGATTTCAGATTAAGTTCCTTTCTTTGAAACTCTTCCAATTTCCACACCCAAAAATGGCCCCAATTCCAAGCAAGCCATAAGATAACTCAACTCCTCTTGATGTCTCCATCTAGAAAGGCATGCCTCATTAAAACAATCTCTTTGACAAGATTTCGATATGTGAATGGCCGAACAGCAGCTCTTAAGAACAACTCGGGAGGTATCTTACTCTTCTTTGCTCTCCTCCTAGGACCCTTATAACCTTTACTCTCCCAATCCTCTCTCCCCTGTTCCCAATCCTGATCAATACTCACCCTTCTCGCCTCTTCCATTCTCTCCTTCATCTGCTGCTCCTCTATCTCTTGCTGCTTATAATACTTATCAGACACCTCGATGCTTTTCGTCACTATTTTCTCCATATCATCTGAGCTATTCACCGCCTTCTTCCATTGCTCATTCCAATACTCTTCGCTCTCTTCTGGGCTTGTCTCAGTTTCGTCACTCTCACTGTCCCCTTCCTCTCCCACATCAATGACTGTGTCATCCTCGCTTCCCTCTTCTTCCTCTTCATCATCATCACTACCATCATTGTTGTCGTCATCATCATACTCCTCAATCCAATCTGTCATCCCATTCTCACATCCACCACCATCATTATCACTCTCATCCGGCGCGTCACAACCCAACTCCATCTCCTCCAACTTAGCCTTCCACTCCTTAGTATACGGATGTAAAAGCTCCATCGGGTGATTCGTCAACAAAAACTCCAGGCACCTCGACTTCCCTTCATCACTCATCTTCTCATAGGCGTTCACCACATCATCCACGTACGATTTCGGGCTTATCTTCACCATCTTACACAGCCCACCAAAATAACTACACATCTCCACTCTCCCATCCTCCCTCCTAAGCTCAAAAACGTACTCCCCCTCCGTCTCCGGATCAACCAACGGCATCAACCCTTTAAAGAAGTCATCTTGAGGCTCAAACCTACACTGATAAACCGGCTTCTTTACATATATAATGTCAGGCCTCTGCCAAGCTGCACATTGTGTGATCATCGCCCTCGTCTTGTTCCCAAATCTACCCATCAAGCTCCATTTATCCAATCTCTGATCTTTTCCAGCCTCCACCGCGACCTCCGACACCAAGGTCCACTGCTGCCATGGCAGCTCACTCACCCTCCATTTCGGGTGCCGGACGAAAACCCAATAGTACCTAAACCCAATACCCTCATCCAAAGCCTGCAACCTCGGCGAAAAATCCTGACACATCTCAAACTGCTCAATCTCCTCCCACTCCTCATGATCATTCACCTCCCCGATAAGCGAAACCCTGTCGTCAGAAAACCTCCCTCTCACGGGCGGGCCCACCACGATCCCCCGCCAACTATAAGGCCCATACTGCCCGTACTTGTACCAGTCGTAAGGGTGTTTGAGGTTAGGGTCGTCTTCCCGCACGATGAACGGACGGCCCGGTCGTAGCGAGCGCCCGATGGCTTGGAGCTCGGCTTCCGGAGAAGGAGTCAGAGTGGTTGGGGTTCTGCTGTTTTGCGGCGCGTAGAAGAAAAAAAAAAAAAAAATTAAGGCTTCTGGAGAGGCTTGCGGCTGCGGCGGCGTGACGTTGAGTTTGCCTGCGGCGGATGTCGGCGTTGCCCTCGATTGCGGCGCGGGGAGGGCGCCGGGATCTTCTGTGTGCTGCTGCGCTCTGCGGAGACGGCCGTGGGGAGGGGGATTGGACGCCAGAGGTCTGAGAGGTTGAAGTGAGAGAAAGGGAACGGGGTCCTGTTGCGGGGTCAGGCAGGGAGAGAGGGGTGAAAATGGGGAGGCGATGGGTTTGGAGTTTGCAGCGTTTGGAGCCTTCGGGCTTCGGAGAGGGACGAGGGGGGTTCTGATGGCAGCGGTGCTGCTTCGAGGCCGGCCAGGCGTGAGTTGAGAGGGGAGGGGGACGATGGGAGTAGGGAGGGGGTAAGAGATGGATGGCGGAAACGGTTGGAGGATGTGGATAGAGGCGCTGGGGTTTTAGGTATTTGTTTCGGGGTTTTGGACCTTGGAATTGTTTTTGGAGCTTTGCTAGATACAGTTACCCAACATATGGGATCAACACGGGTGACAGGTGAGTTAGTTCCTTTCCTATTGCATAATGAGGGATAAGTGAGCTGATCATCACGATGAGCGGCTCATTATGCAATAGGAGAGGAACACCTCACCTACCCCCTGTTGGTCTCATATTTTAGATATTTTGGATCGTTGTGGAATTTTTCTTGTTTTTGGGCTGAGCAGCACTTACCCACCCTCTAGTTTCACCTGCTCCTCACTTATAATACCCCTACTCGTATTTGCTAGCAAAAAAAAAAAAAAATCCCTGAAGTTTTTCAAACTTAAACCTATATATCCCCTTGCTTTTCTGGTGGAACCTAAATGCCCTAGAGTTTTTAAAACTTGGCCTCAAATACCATCGAGTTTGCATAGGTGAGGCCGTGAGGGTGTTTATATGCAAGTTTTAAAAAAACTTTAGGGTATTTAAGTGTCAGATTTAAAGACTTTAGGGTATTTAAGTGTCGGGTTTAAAAACTTTAGGGTATATAAGTGCTACAAGAAACAAGAAAAGGTATATAGGTGCAGGTGTAAAAATCTTTAGAGCGTTTTCTTATTACCAAATACAAGTGGGGGTATATAAGTGAAGAGTAGATGAAACAATAGGATGCATAAGGGCCATTTAGCCTTGTGTTTAGGGTAAATATGAGAACCCCAAAAAAACTTTGGACAATTATCGTAAAACTGCCTTAAGTTCCAAAATATCATACAACTCCTTATTAAGTATAGGGATTATCACAAAGCCCCCCTTTAACTTTCATATTTTATTAGAAAATCTTAGTTTAACTTTGAGATTTTATCAAGAAACCCCCTAATAAAATCTCAAAGTTAAAGACGCTTTTTTAATAATGTATAAATTTAAGGGGAGTTTTCTGATATTTTGAAAGTTAAGAGGGATTTGTATGATATACAACCTTATTTTTATTTATATTTTTACCTCTATGTGAATTGCTACTATAAGGCCCCGTTTGGTTGCAAAAGAAAAAGCCTGAAAGCCTGACTAAAGCCTGACAAAAGTCAGGCTTTTGTCAGGCTTTCAGCTTTGTTATTATGCAACCAAACTTGTCAGGCTTTTGTCAGGCTTTCAGCTTTGTTATTATGCAACCAAACGGGGCCTAACACTATGGCTCTCAACTCGTGGGTTATCAAAAAAAGTTATTTATTGTTCATCTTGGGTGCGAGGCCAGATTCCCTACCTCCTAGATTGCAAAGAACTCCTATTGGTGAAATGGCTCATTTAGTAAACCCCACAATTAATTTTTTTTATTTAATTGAGATAATGAATATCATTTATAGAGTTCACAGAGTGGTGAAGAGCTTTGCTACAGGGACCCAAAATATGTGACCAATAAAGGGGACAAGTAATGTGTCCCCCTCCTATTGGATAATGAGTTGTCCATCATTAATGATGGCCAACTCATTATCCAATAGGAGGAGGACACCTCACTTGTCCCCCCTATTGGTCCCATATTTTGGGTCCTTAAAGAATTTTTCGTATAGATATATCTTTCTTTCTGCATCCAGGAAAATTTGATTAAGAGCATGTTTGGGAATATTTGATAAATTGGTGGATTATAATCCATCATTATTATTAAAATAACCAAAAATAATAAAGGTTATTTCTATAATCATGAGGGTATAGTTGTCTTTTACTTGATCAAACTTCAAGACTTATAATCCATCAAAAAATAAGTCGGGATTAAAATAAGCCAGGATATTATAGTTAATCAAAGCTTATTTCTTTGATAGATTATAAGCAAAAACAAATTATTTATTAAACATCTCAAAGCAGTTTATAAGTTACTTTGATTATCTGCCAGAATCAATCCCGAATTAGTAAATAAGTAATATTGGAAATTATGGTTAAATCTGGAATAAAACAGTAAAAGTTGATGTGCTTTAATTTTATACTTTTTCAGAACATTGTGGTTAAAGAAATATTTGGTCTACTCCGGTGCAAGGATCTCAAGGCTAAACTGCTTCCAGGAACAACAATACAGTATTCTGGTATGTACCAACCCAGTACTGTCAAGATCTCCTCGATCTATAAGACCTTTCGGTCAAGGAAAATATCTCATCGATCTCAGAACCTTTCGGTTTTAGGGCAAGTTTCTGCGAGCACAATTTCTGCAGCAGCAGCACAACAACAGCAACAACGATAAGATCTCCTTGATCCGACGTTCGTATTCCAAGTTCTCTAGCCAACTACAAGAGCTGGCAAAGGGGCGCTATTTATAGGCTTCTAAGACCAGCTCAAGAGTCACCCTCAATTAATGCGACTGTTACAATTCACAATGGCAATTATGATTATAACATCAATGCATTAAATTGCTCTAAATGCCGTTGTATCAGCTGCATGCAGTAACTCCTGAATACGATGCAATCAATGAACATGTTACTACGAAACGCGAGGGTCACGTCTCAGTAAATCAGACGAACATCGTTTGTAGGACGAACCTCGTCGAACGGGCGAACCTCGTCGAATGGGCGAATCAGACGAACCTCGTCAAACGGGCTATTTGGCCTTTTTTTCACTCGCAAAATTTTAGACTTGAAGTAACATGATTTATTTCAAACTGGCATTCACAGATTGGTTCTGATTTGATTATTGGCCAAATTAGCTCAAGTTAAGAGGTAAATTAAATCCAAATATTGAGTTGTCAAACTAAGATGTGTTTGTCAACCGCCCAAAAATAGGATCAAGACTAACCATGACTTGATTTTATTCTAAACTAGTTTAGGAATAAGCTAAGGGGGGGTTAGTCACCTAGAACTTTTTAAGTAGCACTGGGATAATTGGTAAAGTGGGATAATATTTTGATACTGGGATAATTTAGTGGAACAATGATGGGTAATTCTTAAAGTGAGATAATTTAGTAGGATAATTTGGTGGGATAATGATGGATAATATTATGAAGTTGCATAATTTGGTAGGATAATTTGGTGGGGGTAATGGTGGGTATAAATTACTACTGTTAATAATTGTATATTAAAAATAATATAATATTGATAAGCAAATTCTAGTAATAACTATAAAATATAATGCAATAAAGCATCATTATTCATCTCAAATAATAAAATAATTTACAAATAAATAAAAATCTAAATCCCTAGAGTGACTCGACTTTCATCATCCCACATGGCTTCTATCATCCCACATGACATCTGCCATAGAATTTCTCCAAGCTCCTACAGCTGCTCGTTGAGTTTGTAACTCGTCTTCTTTATCGGAGTCATCGTCTGCATCAGCAACATTTCATGGAGCTTCTAGTGGAGGATCATAAATGTCGAAGTTCAAATCTCATAACATCATAAAGAAAGAAAAATAAGCATTTTTCAGCCATTAACCCTTTGGACCAATCTCATCATGATCGCTAAAACCAAATCAGCAAATAAATGAAATGTACACAAGAATCATCCATGGCCGCTAAACAGATGATCGACAGATGAACTATAAATATCCCAATCAATTTACTGAGCCGATTTAATAATAATAGATATCACCATTAACCATTCAACATCTAATCATCAATGTGATCGCAAAGTTGCTTTATAACTTATAAAAAAACATAAATAGCCCGCATATCTTTAGCACTAACCCACCAACACTATATTCTTAACCTAAACCACTGTTGTGGAGAGAAAACTTAATTAGATCAAACAAATAATAATAAAGTAATTTAACGTCAAAAAGCTATCAATAAAGTAATACATCTTGAAGATAATAATAAAAGATCTAATCATCATAAAAACAAAGTAAAGACAGAAAAATGAACGGATGATTGACTTCATGGCAGAGAAATTTTCTAGGCGAAGAAACTAACCAAGAGGGAGGGAGGCGGCGTTTCACTTTTTTTCCCCAATTGTATTCTTTCCAATGTGTGGGATAATTTGAGAGAGGAGAACTTATGGTTATATATATAGGTAGTATAATTTGTGGGATAATTATGACCAATTATCCCAATTCTAATTCTAGTAGAATTCTACTTGACTAACGCACCAAAAAAATAATACAGTTCTAGTTCTACAAAAGTTCTACTTGACTAACACTATAAAAAAATATCTTATTTCCTAGTTCTATGTGACTAACACCTTAAAAATTTATCCCACAAATTATCTCAGTTCTAGTTTTAAGTTCTAGATGACTAACCCCCCATAAGAAGATCAGTTTAACAAACGACTAGTATAAGGATCATATTTTCTCTCTCAGTAAAACTAGAATAATAAATGAAGCTAATATTGGCCTAGCATTCCCAATAACACGGAGGCACTCGATCTGACCTATTTTTGAGCGGTTGTCGGACAAATCCCAAGGGTTAGCTTGGCAACCATGGAGAACTAGACTTACATGGAGAATACATGATACTATGGACATTCCAGTGAAGAGGCGCCTCTTTTTGTCATAGCCAGAGACATAGGGAAGATGAAATCATGAAAGGAGTTGAGATTATTGAGTGATAGATTGTAATATTTGTTGATCACTAAAAAAATAGTGAACCTATCATTCTGAAGGGCTAAAATACCAGATTGACATTAAAAACTAACACCGCTCTACCACTCTAGCCTAAAAACTAACACTGACCATACTCTAGCCTAAAAACTCATAAATATGGCGATAAGTAGGGCTATCCGATCAAAAACTTAAAATTGTTGTCATTTTAAGCGAAAATTTAGGAGATTTTTTCATATAGGCCCTCAATCTCCCATATTTTTTGGTTTTACTATCTCAAGTTTTAAAATTTAGAAAAAAAATTCCTATCTCCCTCCCTTCCCACCATCCCCTACCTCCTCCTCCTCCTCACCATCTCCTCCATTTGTTTTTCCTCCCCATCCTTAACTTCCCCTCCTCTCCTCTACTCTCTCTCCCTCATTTTCCATATATTCATTCTTACCTCCTCCTCTTCTTTTTCTCCAACCCCATATCTTCTTTACTTTCTTCAACTTCTCTCTCTGAATTTTTTGATGTTGGGTCTGAGAGAGGAAGATGAGAAGAAGGTCGGATTTTCAGTTGAATGTTAATGTTGGAGATTGGGAGTGGGCAAAGCAAGAAGGGAGAAGGAAGAGGAGAGAGGAACAGAGAGAGAGAGAGAGAGAGAGAGAGAGAGGAGCAGGAAGAGGGAGTAAGATAGAGAAGTGGAGGTTGGAGATCAGAAGGAGGGGAGAATGGAGGAGACCATGGAAATGAGAAGGTATGAGTAACAATACGATAAAGGAGGGAGGAGTGGGAGATAGGAGAGAAAGTTGAGAATATGGATAGAAGAGAACGGAGCATATGGTAGGAAGGATGAGGGAGGAGATGACGAGAAGAAGGTTTTTTTTTATAAGCTTTAAAATATGGGGAGGGGGCATCCAAAAAATATGGGAGATCGAGAGGCTATATGAAAAAAATCTTTCGTTTCAGAATAACCTTTGGCAATAGCGTAAGTCTATTTGTCACCATATTTGTGAGTTTTTAGCCCAGAGTGTTGCCGACATCAATTTTTAGGCCAAAGGGATAGAGCGGTATCAGTTTATAGGCTAATCTGATATTTTAGCTTATTCTGAAGATGTAGATGTTCATATTGATTGACGAAGCCTTGTCAAATCCCTTTTATAATTGTTTTATTTGTTTTTGCTTTCATGATTTGCGATAATACAGAGCTATGTTGTTAATGCTTCTTGCATTGAGCGTATCAAATGCGTACATCACGAAAGCTCTTCCACTTCGACCACCAGTTCCTCTTCATCCTCACGCAAGGTGGAAACCTGAAGAACTACGCTTTACACCATCCCTAGAAAAGTATTCTCTTTTTTTAGAAGAAATTTTTAAAACAGCCTCAAACCATGTTTTAATTTTCAAAACCGACCTACTTTTATTTTACCAAAATCGACCCATTTTTTGCCACGTTAGTTTAATCTCATTCCTAAACAGTCAGGGTTGGCAACCCCGAGTGTTTAGGAGGTTGTTAAACCCCAAGCCAACCCCTACTGTTTAGGACGTTGTTAAACCCCAATTAGAAACCTTAAACCCGATTTTTATGCCCTAAATAGTCGGGGTTGGTAACCCTGACTAATTAGAAAATGAGATTAAGCTGACGTGGCAAAAAGTGAGTCGATTTTGGTAAAAAAAAATGATCGGTTTTGAAAATTAAAACATGATTTGAGATTGTTTTGAAAATTTCTTTTTTTTAACGTTATTATTTTCTATCCTCCTAACTGCCATCCTAATTTATCATTATTAATTAGATATTCCTGACCAATCACAAAAGTCACACCACTTATTTCCCCCCACCATCCCCAAACTCTTCTCCTCGGATAATAGCTGTGCAGTTTTACCGAAAAATAGTACCCTCTCTCAGGAACCGCCCACCCTCCGCGCTCCTCCCTCCACCACGAAATTACCACCCCTTGATCAACCGACCTGCCCACCATTAGTTGAGATCATCAGACATTCTTATAATTTCCCCTTCATCGTCATCTTCTCCGAGTAATCAGAAAAAAAAAATCAAAAAATCAAAATTCATTCATGGAGCAGCTCCAGCAGGAGGAAGAGCTAGAATCGCTTTCCCTCTGGTCAATAGTCCACCACTCCGTCCAAATCCCCTCCTCCGCCCCCCAAACCTTCGCCCTCCTAACCCTAACCCTCGTCTTCCCCCTCTCCTTCGCCGTCCTCGCCCACTCCCTCCTCACCCACCCCCTCCTCCTCCGCCTGGACCCCACCTCCCCCTCCGCCGTCTCCGACCTCTCCCTCCTCCTCCTCAACCA